CCTGCCCCCCCCGCCCCCCGCACCGTGACGCCGGACAGGTGACCATCTCGGTGGACGGGATCCTGACCACGACGGGCTACACGCAGGAGGACTACACCATGCTGGGCTCCGACGACTTCTTCTACATCGGGGGCAGCCCCAACACGGCCGACCTGCCGGGCTCCCCCGTCAGCAATAACTTCATGGGGTGTCTCAAGGACGTGAGTGCCCGGGGGGGCCGCCACAGGCTCTGCAACCCCTGGTCCGGTGCCGGGAGGCAGCCACCTCTGGGGTGGGATGTGCCTGTTATGGGGCTGTGAGGGGAACGTGCTGCCAGCAGACAGGGGCCTGCCCTGAATTGGGACCCCCCTGGAGGAGATGGGGAACTTCACCCACACCCCAGGATCAGGCCTGGATCAGGGTCCTTTCCCCAGCCGGTGCCCCCAGGATCAGGCCTGAATTGGGACCCCCTAGAGGGGACAGCCCCCTTTCCCGCTCCAGCTGGTCCCCCAGGGTGAGGCCTGGATTGGGACCTCTGGAGGGGACACCCCCCCCCCTATCCCCCAGCCGGTGCCCCCAGGATCAGGACTGGACCAGGACCCCCTGGATAGGGACAGGCAACCCCTGCCCCCACCCCCAGATCAGGACCTCTGGAGGGGTCAAGCCCCTGTCACCCCCGCAGTCACTGCCCCCACCCTGGGGTGGGCCGGGGACCCCAGCTCCGGTGCCCACGTGCCCCCATGTACCTACCCTCCCCGCTGCAGGTGGTGTACAAGAACAACGACTTCAAGCTGGAGCTGTCGCGCCTGGCCAAGGAGGGTGACGCCAAGATGAAGCTGCACGGGGAACTGGCCTTCCGCTGCCAGGACGTGGCCGCCCTGGACCCCGTCACCTTCGAGGCGCCCGAGGCCTTCCTCGCCCTGCCCAAGTGGAGCGCCAAGAAGACGGGCTCCATCTCCTTCGACTTCCGCACCACCGAGCCCCACGGCCTGCTACTCTTCTCCCATGGGCGCCTCCAGCCGCCCCGCGAGGGGCCAGGGCCAGGGCCAGGCCCCGCGCGCCCCGACCGGCCCCCCAAGGCCGACTACTTTGCCATGGAGCTGCTTGACGGCTACCTCTACCTGCTGCTGGACATGGGCTCGGGCGGCATCAAGCTGCGGGCCAGCAGCAAGAAGGTCAACGACGGCGAGTGGTGCCACGTGGACTTCCAGCGCGACGGGCGCAAAGGTGAGGGGCCCCCACCTGGGCCCAGGCCCCAGTGCTGATCCCCCCCACTCCAAATCCCTGCTAGGAATCCCAATCCTTGCACTGCAGTTCACCCAGAGGCTGGGTGTGTGCAAAGCGGGAAGCACTGAGAGTGTGTGTGTGTGTGTGTGTGTGTCTCCCTCTCTCAGCCCACAGCCCTGGTGCCCCCCTTCTTTCCCCTCCATGCTGATTGGCACCAGCAAATTGGCAGTTCATTAGCAGCTCATTTGAGAGGGAGAAAAGGATGGGGCAGGTAAGGGGAAGCAGAAACAGGAGAGACCTGAGGCCTGCTTTCCCCTTCACTGCCTTCCCCTGCCTCACCTTCACCCCTGCATGCATTCGAGTGTGCATTCGTATGTGCATGCATGTGTGTGCACATGCACCTGTCTCCTGGACACCTAGTGTTCTGTGTGTGTGTGTGTGCGCACATGCACCCCTGTTTCCCAGGCACCTGGATTCTGTGCACAAGCACATGTGTGTATGTGTGCACATGTGGTGTTGTGTGTGCACATACACCTCTGTCTCCTGGACACCTGGGCTCTATGCGTATGTGTGGTGCGTGTCTGTGTGTTTGTATATGCATGTCTGTCTCCTGGACACCTAGGTTCTGGGGGGTGTTTATGTGTGCACGTGCACGGGTCTCCTCCAGACACCTGGGTTCTGCACAGGTGTGTGCATGCGTGCTTGTGTATCTGCACATGCTTTTCTGTCTCCTGGACACCTGGGCTCTTGTGTGTGTGTGTATGTGCACACTTGAACTTGAGAGAGAGAGATGGCACAACACAGCCCCCTGCTGGTTGAAATCTTTCAGTCTGAGTGTGACTATATCAGCTTTGATTGGGCTGTGGGTGTGTGCATGTGCACATCTGTCTCCCAGGCACCTGGGTTGTGTGTGCATATCCTAGTATATGAACACATATGTCTGTTTCTCGGACACCTACATTGTATATGTGGGTGCATGCATGTGTGTGTGCCTATGTATACATGTGCACATCTTTCTCCTGGATACCTGGGGGCGGGGGTGTGTGTGTGTGTGTGTGTGTGTGTGTGTGTGTGTGTGTGTGTGAGCACATGCAGAGGTCTGTTCCCTGCTGACTGAGAAGTATCATGCAGCAGCCCCATCCACAGCATTCCCACGTGTGCCTGTTGTGATAAGCGTGTGTGTGGGTTGGCTTGTACACATGCAAGTGTGCACATGCATGTGTGTGAATCCAAGGTGTCTGCATGTGTGTCATGGAGGCAGGCAGGCATGGCATCTGTGGGCATGTTGGCAAATCATTTCCATGCGTGTCCTACTCGTACACATGCATGAATCCATGCATGCTGGTGCTCACCCAGTTGAGAAGATCCATATCATATGAGTGCCAGCAGGAGTGTGGACAGATCCAGGGTGCTAAAGTCTGTGCACTCGGTTGGGCATGTGTGCAAATGCAGTGTGTGAGAGCACACATGAGTGTGCAAATCCACACATGCCAATGCCTGCATACTCTATTGGGTGCGTTGTGTTTGTGTGCGGGTATGGGTGTGTACGAATCTAGGCATGCCACTGCTTGCACACTCAGTTGGGTGTGTGTTATTCATGTATGCAGGTACGGGTGTGTGTGAACCCACACATACCAATGCCTGCACACTCCCTTGGGTGCGTGTTATGCATGTGTGCAGGCATGGGTGTGTGCGAATCCACATGTGCCACTGCCTGCAAACTCCATTAAGTGCATGTTTATGCGTGTGCGCAGGCACAGGTGTGTGTGAATCCACACGTGCCACTGCCTGCGCACTCTGTTGGGTGCATGTTGTGTGGGCACGAGTGTGTGTGAGCCCACGTGTGGCAGTGCCACATGCTCAGTCAGGTATCTGTCATGTGTGCATGTGAGTACATGGGGACCAATGCTTGCACACTCATTCCAGGGCACAAACATGTACGTGCCGATACCCGGGCCCAGCCGGGGGTGCCAGGGGCTGGCATGGGGGTCTCCCCTCACCCCCTGCCCTCCCTTCCCCCTGCAGGCTCCATCTCGGTGAACAGCCGCAGCACACCCTTCCTGGCCAGCGGCGAGAGCGAGATCCTGGACCTGGACAGCGAGCTGTACCTGGGGGGGCTGCCCGAGGGCCGGCCCGACCTGCACCCCCCACCAGAGCTGTGGACGGCCTTCCTGCGCCTGGGCTACGTGGGCTGCGTGCGCGA